AAGTAGAAGGGTGCTCACCCTGGAGAGACTGGGAAAAGTCATGGGGAAGGCTGATCAAGGTGATAGATAAATAGGAGCAACAGTTCTATTGTACTTATTGCACAGTAGGGAGACTATAGATTCCAATAATGAACCATGTATTTCAAAAAAGCTAGAAGAAAGATTTAGAATGTTTTCATCATAAAGAAATAATAAATGTTTGCAGGGGTAGATATGTTTAATCTGATTTAAAATATTATACAAAATGTATACATGTATTGAAATATCATACTGTAGTCCATTATTATCTACATTTTTTATGTTTTTAATGTATCAGTTTAAAAAATAAATTTAATTTAAAAATAGTCACTGGTTTTAAGTAATTAATTAAATTAAGCAATATGAGTAATTAAATATTATGATTATTTTCGATTGTCAACTCTAGACACTAGGAATTTTTGATAACATTATGAAGATTCAGTCCTATTTTGATGAGCAACTCTGTAGCAATAATCCTGCAGTCCATTCATACCTGGGCATTAGCATAGATGGCTTGGAGCCTCTTCATAGGTTACTTGCATGAATTCAATTCAAATTTGGGAGAACCATACTCTAGGGACAGTGTACGCATCATATACTACCCCTTACATTGTACAATATGTCATATTTCATGCCTGTGGCAAATATTTATTAAGCAAAATGTGCCAGACATTGTGCCTAGCCTTTGTCTAGGTCCAGTGTTCATTTCTTGGAAAGGATCAGGTGAGATTTTGCAGGGCCAGGGGAAAAATAGGTAGGGAAAAGCTTCCATCCTTGCTTGTGAACCAGTACAGAGTAAGCAGGAACTATATATAAGCTGCTATTAATTAATAAAAAGTAATGCTACTATTTACTAATATTACCAATATTAGCTCTAGCCCTAATCACTGTCATCCATATTGCTACCCAAATCTTGTGTATGTTACTCGAAGTTTCCACTGAAAATCAGAGCACCGATCTAGGGGCTATTTTTTTAAATCTGCCAAGTACTGTTTTAAGCACTTTATATACCTCACCTCATTTATTGCTCACAATAACTTAATATTCTCTCTTCTCACAGATGAGGTCACTGAGGCACAGAGAAGTTAAATAACTTGTTTATGGACACACAGCTGTGAAATGGTGGAACCATTCCTGGGAGGGTTCAGTCCCAGGTAGTCTGCCTCCACAATAGGCCATTTGTATCACAATAGAATTAAGAATGAACATTTACAGAACACATGATTTGGATCAGGCTTCATGCTAGACACTTCACCTAGATTATCTAATTTACACGGCTAAGTAACTCTGGTGTATTATTCTCGATTTATGAGGAAATGGAGGCATAAATCAGCTAAATAATCTTCCCACTGGTGCAAAGCTGGCAATGGCAAAGCCAGGATGTAGTCAGGGTTCCAATCCAGAACCCTCAGGGACCATTTTGTAAATCTCAGTTTGCAAGCCTGTCCCATGGGAACGGTCAGACCTCGTGGTCTTACTGTAAGAAGTCTTACTGTTAGGGTCTCCTCTGCCACCTTTCACTCAATCACTGACATCATCTACCCTCTGTCAGAATCTGCCACAGCATCCTAACATACCATCCAAGTAACTTCAAACTACCTTACCCTAAAATATCTGGGAGCTGGGGGTGTAGTTCAGTGATAGAGCGTGTCCTTAACATGCACAAGGCCCTGAGTTCCATACCCAGTACCAAAAAATAAAAATAAATAAATTATAGTGTCACTGTCATTGTATGGAGTGAAAAAATACCAAAGTTGCTTTAAGGATTGGAGTAAAGGATGCAGAATTCACAGAGTCTGAGCCTTAACGGCAGATAACCCAAACATTGATGTGACAGTTGTCTTCATAATGTTACATTTTAGTGTAAGGTCACCATCAAAATACAAAAATTAAGGCTAGTTATTTCATCCACAAGGGTCATAAATGACTTTGAAATATTTGGTGAGAGATGGTGGCTTCTGACTTCCTTGTTTTACAAACAAGCACTTATTAGTAAATGGATGTGCCTTCAAACAGCTATGTCTGGGGCCAGATCCCTGGCCAAGTAGTGTGTGTAGTCCAGTTCCCACTTCAGATTTTGGCCAGATCCACCCACCACTGCTACTCAAGAGCAAAGAGATGGCAAGTAGAGGCATGCTGATGTGCTGCAGGGGCTCCAAGCTCAGAGGGCCTCTCCCCACCTGTGATGGATTTGCTTATTTATTGAACATTACTGAGGACCTTTTACTTGCCAGATGCTATTAGTACTGATTCTACAAAGATGAGTAAGAAGTGGTTCTTGTTCTGCAGAGACTCAGACCCTGATGTAATGAATAAATATGTGAACAAGTCAGTGTACCATTGGGAGTAAGAAATGGAATGCACAAAGCTGGGGTTGACACCAAGGAAGCAGTGCCCCTGTGATGCCAGGAGAGGAAGGTCATGGGATAATTCCCATAGACCAGGGTCATGCAGGATGACAGGAGCCCTGAGAAGGAAAGGAACATTCCAGATAAGAGCATTTGCAAATGCATGGGGTCGTTGAACTGTACAGGAGTTTGAGATCTTGTACGGCTGGTATCACCAGCTGACATCAGTTACCCTCATACACCTTTTATGTGTAAGAGTGGGGATGGGGGGGTGAGGTTAGAGAGACAACCAGGAACCCCACATCATGGAGGGCCTCATCTGCCCTCTATTTAGACTTTATGTTGAAGGCCATGAGGACCCCTGAAGGCTCTAGGCAGGAAGAGACCTGGTTAGACAAGCATTTAGGAAAATAGCTCCTCCATCTTGGATCATGAGGACCAAAAGAGGATCCCAGGTTAGCTCAGCCTGAGTTCAAAAGAGCCTGGATCCCTGAGGACTTAGTAGAGCAAAGTGTCATATCTGCTATGGACTGCCTACATGAGAAAGATATAGATTTATATGGGTAGGCTATTTTTTTGATTTTTCAGACATGTGTAGCCGAACCACTAACTCTAATTAAAGACATCACTTACGGGGTTAAGTCTAATTTGGAGACTTCCCAATATCAGTTCAAATGAATGGTTTTATGTTTGTTCATTGAAAAGTCTTAGTAAGGTTTGGTTTCCCTAACTCCAGCTGCCACCAAATTCTCAGAAAGAATCTTTCTGAGAAGACTCTCTGTCAGGTGAAGTGAGGGGTGTGGTGAAGTGCATGTTTGGATATAAACCCTGACTTCCTGTGTAATTTCAGAGAATTGCAGTTGGTGTGTCTATTAAACATAACTTCTCATTCTGTATTTTTGATGTATTGATACCTGGGGCCTTGCTGATCTGGAGGGACTGTCCTCCTAGAGCTATTAAACCACCACTATTGAGTTCACCTTTCATATGCAAACCGAGTACAGGCCCCAGGCTCTCCTCTGTTCAGCTCTTGTACTGAGACACTACTTTCCTGCCCTAATCTCCCCAGGGCCAAATACCAGACAGCTAGGGACAGCCCCTACACTCTAGAGCTCAGCAGTTACTTAAACTGTCCAATCCTATGCCTGCTTACCCTGCCTTGCCCATTTCTTCATGTGGAAACCACAATAGAGGCTCTTGCCCATGTTTTTCCTTCATTCTTTCTGTCTCCTGACCTGTCCTGACGCTTCTTATGTGGCCCTATATGCCTCCTTTCTGCTTGAAGGGATTGGCAAGCTTAAAACAAACTTCTTCCATTATGACAGTCATTTCTGTATCTGTGTGTGTTATCACACCTGATTAAAACAAACCCCAGGTACTCTTAAAACAGCATGTACCTTGATTTCCCTGGCTGAAAGGGCAGCCTATAATTCTACAGCGAGAATGCTGATAAAAATATTTTAAAGAGGAAACCATACAAGAGGGTGGGGACGGAATAAAATGATGTTCATTCATATTCATGGCATTTGATTTACCAAAGTGATGACTCACATCGACTGAGCATTCGAATTTGAGATTGGATGCATAATTAGTTATTAATAAAGGAATGTTATTTAATCCTTGGAATAAGTATGTAATCCTCTAGATGCTTACTATTCCTTTTCTCTGAATATTTGTTCTATTAATTCGTGTTTATGTAGTACTTGCAAACTGCATGCGGTACTTTTACACAGGTAAATTATCTGCTTAATAGGAAATAAAATATCTGCCCTTCGGAACCCGTAGTTAAGAAAACTGTGTTATTTAGAATTAACATAATATACGAGGTGGTTATGACTAAGACTCTTGTCATTTAAAAGGGGACAACCTCCTCCTGAGTGCCTCAGTACTGTGAGTTAGAGCCCTGAGTGAGTCATCCCTACACATGGCCCTGGAGACCTGGTCGCCTGCCTTTCTTGTCACAGGTGCCGCTGCTGAAGCAGCCCTGTGCCGGGAACATCACTGTGTTAGCTGAAGGAATGGAGGATGCCGGGGCCTCTTCAGTTCTAGTATGTGTATGTCCAAGCTCACCCAGGATATAAATATCTGTGTTTACACAAGAGACAGATTAAGGATAATGGTTCACTTTCCAAAGGATTGACCACTGTATGCCTTTTCAAGGTGAACTAACACTGTACATTTAGAATATGATTTAATTTTTAAAAACATCCCTTATTTAGGCAATTTTATTTTGTGTGTGTGTGTGTGTGTATATGTGGGCTAGGACATCTGTTGTATATATGAGGTCAGTCAGGGAAATTAGAAGGTACAAACATGAAATGTAGCAGTTTATGTTTTAGCTCATTTGTGACTTTACCTCCAAATTCTCTCAGCTTCTAAGCAGAGACATTCTTTAGAATGTGTCAGGGTGTACAGAGGTGGGGGCTTGATTGCAAGCTATAAAAGGATTAATTGGATATATACATTTTTAGCATTCCTTAATGCAATGTAAATGCTAACAGCCTTTGCAAGGATCCATAACAGAGCTGTTTATAGCTTTCAGAGCACACTCTATGCATTATCTCATTTGGTCTTCATAACAATCCTATGAGGCAGGAGGTAAGGTAATGTTTTCATGTCTGTTTTATTGATCAGGGTCCAAAGCCACTTGGATCAGAAGAGGTGGAGCTGGGACTAGAAAGCAAGCCCTGTTCTCCCTGCTCCTGGCACACCCTGTGACCCAGAGCATCCACTCAGACTGCAATTGTTTTAGAGTGAACCAAGGACCCTTGATTTATCATTTTGACTCCATGAATTTCATATAATATTCACCACCTCTGCAAGAAGATCAATCTTTCTTCCTCCTTCTTTGGTATGTTTTAACCAGTTCTGAAATGGAGATTTAGTGACTTTTGTGACTGTAGACTTTGATATTGGAAAATGTTTACTTTTGAAGTCCTAAGAGGGAAATAATAAGAGTTGTGTTGCCTCCCTGCCAAATATACACCCACTTATTCATAATCAGCAGAAAAATATTGAAAGGTATCTTTATTGGTGGTAGTGGATTTCTATATAGAATGGAAATTTTAAAATGACTTGGATAATAATCTAATTTTTAGGGAAATTATATTCATCGTGCCCTCTTTGGTAGTACACAGCAAATATTTTAGGAATTGAAAATCAAATGTAAGAATTATAAAACAATTCTGCTATAATAAGATGTGTTTAAAAGAAATATTTAATATTTAAAAGAAAAAAATTTAAAGAAAATAAACATGGTTATTGTTTAACAGACAAATTAGAATAGAGACTTTGGGAAGGTCAACTTTGCCTAGAGTGAGGTCACATTCTCCACCCAGAGGGGAACCCTCTCCTGACTATGGGACATGCACTTAGCCCAGATCAATTTGATTCAAACAGGTAATAGCAGTTGCCCACAGGTAGCAAAAAGCCTTCTGGGTCCTCCCTTTTTAGACTAGGAGGGATCCCCTGGATGAACTGAGCTGCTTTTGAATGTCTGAAGCTGGAGAGAGTATCCTTTTCTACTTGTATGGGGACACAGCAAGTAAATGTTGGTAACGTGGTCACCTGATTCTAAGAACAGAATGGAATTCCCATCACTTCTCTGAACCCTTCAAAAACTTTCAAGATCGACAATTACCTGCTTTGAGACCTAAGGACCAGCCAAACTTGCTTGAGTTTTATGCATAAAATATCCTTAAGATTTCATATCCCTTTGATCTCTGTATTTTGACTTCATGAATGTTCTTGATTTTTTTGAGCAGGTTCTTGAATTCTTGATTGTATCTAATCTAAGTGCAAAATGAAACAATATAGGTGATACCTATTATGTAATTAATTAGCTTAATGTGGTGGCAATGATATGTAATAGGAAGGTCAGAGGTGTTCAGATCCTTCTTTCTAACCTCATAATCTTGGGTAGTTCACTCAGATATTTGTGTCATATTCTTAAGAATAAAGATGCTAGATGTTTTTTAGCAGAACGTATAACAAAATGTGTATAGTGTGTATGGATTCTTAGCATATAGAAAGCACTTAAAAATGCCAATTTTAAAAAGCTAAACATAAGCTTCAACACAAAAAGATTCATCCTTGACCTAACATGTATTCTAGCTCTTAGTTGTAAACCCCTTAGAGTTGATAAGTGGTAAACTTTTTATTTACTGCATTTCCAACATTGTTCTATCAAAACATGCTGAATGCAACTCCATAAGATAGAAATGTTAAACAGGTTTATCTCCTATGTTATCTTGATTCTCTGGTCAACTGTCTGTGAGCTGTGTTTGTAAGCTGTGAGTTTGTGGTTCTGAGTTAAAAGTGCATTCATTGAGCTGGGAGTGGTAGCCCACGCCTGTAATCCCAGCAGTTCCAGAGGCTGAGACAGGAGGATCATGAGTTCAAAGCAAGCCTCAGCAAAAGTAAGGTGCTAAGTAACTCAATGAGACTCTGTCTCTAAATAATACACAAAATAGGGGTGGGGCTTGTTTTTTTTGGGGATTGGCTAACTTCACTTAGCATTATCTTCTCCAGAACCATCCATTTACCTGCGAATGCCATGATTTTATTCTCTTTTATTGCTGAGAATAAATTCCACATTTTTAAATCCATTCATCTACTGAAGGGCATCTAGGTTGGTTTCTCTGATATAAGGAGGCTGATTCATAGTGGGGTAGGGAGGGGAAACATGGGAGGAATAGACAAACTCTAGATAGGGCAGAGGGATGGGAGGGGAAAGGAGGAGGCAGGGGATTAGCAAGGTTGGTGGAATGTGGTGGACATCATTATCCAAAGTACATATATGAAGACACGAATTGGTGTCAACATACTTTATATACAACCAGAGATATGAAAAATTATGCTGTATATGTGTAATAAGAATTGTAATGCATTCTGCTGTCATTTATTTTTTTAAAACAATCAATTGAAAAAAGGCAAAATAGGGGTGAGGATGTGGCTCAGTGGTCCAGTGCCCTTGAGTTCAATCCCCAGTACCCCTTCCCCCCAAAAAGTGCAGTCATTGATTAGTCATGTCTGCTATGAAGTTGGGAGAAGATAGTGGTGGTGGGTGTGCAGGCATTTTCCTTGCTTGGCCTAAGGTGCTTGCCCTTGAGTCTTTATCTAAGAACAAAGAGACTTTCAAATTCGAGATTCTCTTACTGCTGAACTTCATGTAAGGTGCCCTGAGGTAACTTTATAATCAGAAAGCCAGCTTGTTTAAGTGAGAATAAGGAAGAGAAGGAGCTGGAAACCTGTTTCCCTGGCTTCATGCCTCCAGTATGCTATACCAGGTATCCAGTACTTCAGCCCCCATTGAGATGTCTCCCAGTTCCTAGGATGGGCCCCATCCTCTCACAGGCATATGGCTTGGCACAGGGTCTTACTACTTCAGAGAATGTCATTTCCCGTCTTTGCCTCTTGGCAAATTCCACTCAGACTTTGATGTCTAGCTCCTGTAGGTTCTTAACGTAAGACTGTCTGTTAGATTCAACTCTAGGACTTCCTTGTATTCTTGGGCCCACCTTGTAATCCGTCTTCAACAAAGTACAAGGATATGAAGGAGATATTGATGAGTCAAAGGTCTCAGTTTTCCCAGAGGGAATAATGCATGTTTGAGAACGACATTGCTTCCCTCTGGAGTTGGTAAAACCATCTCATCTGGGCTCTTTCATGTTTTAAAGGGGTGCTCCACTCCGGTAACTGTTAAAATACAAAGCAAAGTTTTATATTTGAAAAAGACGTCTTGAATTATGCTGAGCGGTAAGAGAGTCTTATGGGAACTAAGACGAACTTTTGAAAGAATTGTGATAAATTACATATAATATAAAATTCAGCATCTGTCACCATTTTTAAGTGTACAATTCAGGGGCATTAAGTACATGCACATTGTTGCAGGGCCCTCACCACCATCCATCTCCAGAACTCTTCATCTTGCAAAATTCAAACTCCATATCCATGATACAATAACTCTCAATGTCCTTTGGGTCCAGTGCATCAACCATTCTACTTTCTGTCTTCATGAATCTGACTTTAAGCCCCTCAGCTTATTTCACATAATATAATGTTAAGGTTCATCCCAGTCATCCAGTTGTGGCATGAGTGAGAATTTTCTTCCATTTTCTTTCTTTCTTTCTTTCTTTCTTTCTTTCTTTCTTTCTTTCTTTCTTTCTTTCTTTCTTTCTTTCTTTCTTTCTTTCTTTCTTTCTTTCTTTCTCTGCCTCTCTCTGTCCCTCCCTCCCTCCTCCCCCCTCTCCCTCCCACCCACTCTCTTTCCCTCAGTACTGGGGATTGAACCCAGAGGGTCTCTACCACTGAAGCACATCACCAGCCCTTTTTATTTTATTTTGAGACAGGGTCTCACTAAGTTGCTGAAACTGACCTTGAACTTGCAATCCTCCTGTCTCAGTCTCCCCACTTGCTGGGATTACAGGCATGTGCACTGTATCCAGCAGAATTTCCATTCCTATTAAGACTGAATACTATTGCATTGTCTGTATATGCCACATTTTGTTTGTCTATTATCTGTTGATAGACCCAAGTTGCTTCTCCCTGTTGGCTATTGTAAATAATGTTGCTATGAACATGGGTATACAAATATCTCTTTGAGATTCACTTTCAATTCTTTTGAATATATACTCAGAAATGGAATTGTGAAGTACCTGGTAATTCTATTTTTAACTTTTTGAGGCAGCTCATAGTGTTGTCCATAGTGGCTGCAACATTTTACATTTCCACAAACAGTGCACAAGGGCTCCAATTTCTCCTATCCTTTCCAACATTTGTTATTATGTTTTTTTTTAAAATGGTAGTCATCCCAATGGGCAAGAGGGAATATATTATTATGGTTTTGATTTGCATTTCCCAAATGATTAGTGTCTTAGTCCATTCGCTACTATAATAAAATGCCATAAACTAGGTAGCTCATAGCATCAGAAATCTACTTTCTCATAGTTATGGAGGTTGGGAAGTCTGAGGTCATATTGTGGGCATGTTTGGCACCTAGCAAGGGCCCACTTTCTCAAGGATGGTAGCTTCTTGATGTATCGTCATATGGTGAAAGGGATGAAAAGAACTCCCTTGGCCTATTTTATAAGGATACTAATCCTATTTTTAAGAGCTCTGCTTTCATGACTTAATTATCTCCTAAAGGGTCATATCTCCTAATACCATGGCTTTAGGATTAGGATTCCAACATGTGATTTTTTGGGGATGGCACTGGCATTTAGACACAGCAGTTGGTGATAAACATCTTTCATGCACTTATTGGCCAATTCTGAATTTTCTTTGGAGAAGTCTCTGTTCAACTTCTTTGCCTATTTTTTTTTAATTGGTTATTTGGGGTTTGATTGCTGACTTGTAGGAGTTCTTTATATATTTGGAATTAACCTCTTTTCAGATATATAATTTGGAAATATTTTCTCCCATTCCCTGTGGTGCCTTTCATCCCATCAATTGTTTTCTTCCATACACAAAAGTTTCAAATTTTGATATAACCCAATGTATTTTCTTTTCTTCATTTGCTAGAGCTTTTGGTGTCTATATCCAAGAAATAATCATTGAATCCAATGGCATGATACTTTTCCCCTGTTCTAAAAATTTTAGCTTTTGTTTAGATCTTTGATTCATTCTGAGTTAATTTTTTATATGGTATAAGGTAAGAGCCCACCTTTATTCTTTTCATGTGAATATCCAGATTTTCCATTTACTGGAAAGGCTGTTCTTTCCCCGTTGAGCTCTTGGTACCCTTGTTAATCATGTTTGAGCACATATGTGAGGGTGTACTTCTGGGCTCTCTATTGCAGTAATCTCTATGTTTTCCTTTATGTCAGTGTCACACTGTTTTGATTACTGTAA